AGTGTCACCATCACCAATGACACTGTCCAAAATCAGGGGTAAACCTGTAGAAAGTATACGTCGAAAATGGTTCTGCCGCTCATGATTGTAATGATAGCACAACAGTAAAATATGGGCTATTGTGACTTCAGTATCACAAAGACTACACATTGGTGGGTCAGTACCAGATAAAAGAAAAGGATGTGTTAAAAAAACTGTGACCAATGCATAACCTAGCCAGGACCGCAGTCTATACATGGGGCAGGCAAGACCGTGACGGCACCAGAGCAAATGGACTTATCTGCGGTGTCAGTGAGCTCGTTTCTGCAAATACCAATATGGCCAGGTATCCAGAAAATTTGGATGGAAACAAAAAATAGAGAAAAAATGGGCCAGTCATTGTTGAATATTGACAAGAACAAGGTGAGAACTAACATTGAGAGATTCCAGGGCCACTAGAGAGCTAAGAGAGTCTGTGTAAATAATACAATCACGGTACTGCATAGATTCTATTTGATCCAGAGCAAGAGAAATGGCATACAACTCAGCAGTGAACACATAAACTGTAGATAGGAACCTATGAGCAACCACTGAGCCACAACAAATTATGGCAGAACCCAAGGAGGCGCCTGATTTCAAACCATCCGTATAAATGGGAATAAAAGAATGTTTTGAAATATGTTCAGCAAAGAGAATACAGTACTTACAATCGGGAGTATCCACCTTCCTCAGATGATTCAAGGAAAGGTTACAGTTGGGGATGGTAATAAGCCAGTGTGGAATGGGCTGATCATTGGGGACAGCAACATCGTCCAATGCCAGATCCAATTCAGCCAGTTGTGCCTGAATATGAAGGCAAAGGTAGGAATTGCAGAACGTCTGTTCTGAAAGAGCACAGCCCACTGAGGAAGAAAGACACAATTCCGGGTAGGATGCTGTGGTAAGGATAGAAGCTTGAGAGACAGAACTTGGGATTGGGGTGTAGGCCCTGCTGGTGACAAAAATGTATGCAAACAGTTTTGGAAAAAGAAAATATATAACCATTTGTTGTGGTCCACTTCAACAAGAGATTGAGGGCAGCATGAAGCTGCTGCTCAATAAACCTCATATTCAATGACCAACACGAGATGTGAAAGTCATCAATATGGAGCCTGTTTGCAACAGTAGGAGGAAGTTGTGTAGTGATAGCATTAATCTTGATACCGAAAAGAGTGACCTCAAGACACAGCCCTGAGGGACTCCAAGTTCCTGTGTTAAAGAAAGGGAAAGAGTCAAGCCCACACGGACTTGGAATCACGTATCCACTAAAAAGTTCTGAATAAAATGGATAAATGGCCATGAAACCTGCAAAATACTGTACCTCCACATAATGTTGTAAGCCTTCTCAAAGTTCAAAGAACATGGAAACAATGTTCTCTCTTGAGGAAGGCTTCCCTGATCAAGGTTTCAAGTCAAATCTGATGGTCCACAGTGGAGCATTGTTGACAGAACTCACACAGGGTGGGCGAAAGGAGGTTGTTTGATTCGAGGAACCAAACAAAACAAGCATTACCTATCCTCTCTAAAACCTTACAGAGACAGCTAGTCAAAGCAATTGGATGATAATTAGAAGGAATCTTGGGATCCTTCCCAGGCATAGTGAAAGGAAGGACAATAGCCTGGTGCCAAGCATCAAGAAAAACGTTCTCCTGCCAGATCTAGTTAAAAACAACCAAAAGAATAGCCAGAGAGACAGGAGAGAGATGGCATAGAATCTCATAATGAACATCATCAGGTCCAACCAACTTACTGCCAGACCAATAAAGAGGTGATCGTTCTGCCTGAGATTTAATGGCCAAAATGGCAGGGGAAGAAACAGAAGTGCTGGATGCACAAGAAAAGCTCTCACTGAGAGTATCGGTGATGTTCTATACATCAGGAACTTCATGGTCATTGGAGAACAAGAAAGAAGGTGGGAAGAATTCCTCCCATTGACCTTCCAAATCTTATCCCATATGACTTTGGAACTGGCAGTAGAAAAAGATGCTAGTTGTGAACATAATCCAAGATTCGTTTTGGCTTTGATGTCTGACCTGCTGAGCATGGGCACGGGCCTGCTGGAAAGTGATGTGGTTGGAAAGAGTTGGATACCTACAAAAAATATCCCAGGCCAGTTTGTGAGCCTTCCGTGCCTGCTGGCAGGCTGGAGACTACCATGGACGAGGATACCGTGGGAAACGTGTCGAGGTTTTAGGTATAGAATGAACAGCTGCTTGAATGAAGCAATCAGTTACTGCCTCCATGTAGTTGTTAACAGATGGAAGACTAATGATAGCAGGATCAAGTTCCGAGAGAGAGGTGAAAGAGAACCAGTCGGCTTGGTCCAACTTCCACCATGGCACTTGGGTTGGATGGCATTGATCACGGCCAATCTGCCTCAAAACATTAGAAAAATTATCACTGCCCTATGGTTCACTGTCAACCCTCCAAGGAAAGCAAGAGAAAAGTGAAGAGGAATAGATAGATAGATCAATAGCAGTAAAATAGCAATAAGTATAAGAATCAATAATGAAGAGAAAAAGGTTGTGATCCGAGATCATATGCTCTACAGAATGACCCCTCCCATCAATATCAGCACCACTCCAGAGGGGATTGTGTCCATTAAAGTTCCCAAGAGTAAAAAGGTAGACATCAACTGTTCAATGATTGGTCATTAGTTTCTCCAGGAGACAGGTAGAGTGATGGTATAACCCAAGGAAACACGGATAGCTATGGCCTCCAAGGGTGTATTGCATAACACCAACAACATAGGCACATGCTGGTAGACCAGCAATGCCACCCCTCCATGAACTCGTCCATCACACAACCTGTCATTCTGGTATAAAAAAAACTGCCAAAAGAGTAGAACGAAAACTGTATTAAAGTGGCCATTTTTACTTAGGTGGAGGAGAATTTGGTAGAGAACCCCTTCTGTTTCTGACCATGCTGTTTTTCTTTACTAGAAGGAGGTCTATTGACCTCCATGAATCCTACCCTTGGTCGAGTGGGCAGATCTCTGTTATTAGACTTAGATTCCAGCAACTGAGGGTGCAAACAAATAATCATTTTGCATCTCAGGGCCAAAGAAGATGGACCCAAGCAGATACCAGAACCCGGGACCAAAGGAGGTGGACCTGGGCAGTCACTGGAAGGAATGTTGTGGACAAAGATAAGAATAGATGTGAACTTATCAACTCGGTTATCTTTCTCTCTCTTTTTTTAACATTTTCAAGAATTTATTAAAAAGAAGATCCTAAATTAGGACAGCAAAGAGCTCATAAACCAGACAAAATCATAGCAGCAGCCATTTTTACCTCATAGTATAAACGTTAATAAAGTAACAACAAATATATATTAAATTTATAAAGTAACAAATACATATTACTCAAATTATTATTTCAGTCGTTCTAAATGTATTAAGCATCTATATGCAAAGAAAATCCAATAACTATGGTTTTTATCATTAAATGAAGATATAGCCTCAAGATGCTTTGCGGGCTTTACGGCACAACTAGGTTATGAATTGGTGATTGTTATATTATTGTGTCACATTATTAGGACCATCTGAGTTTTTCTCATTGTTTCAACTGAGTATTATTGCATCATATTTCGTGGTGTGTGGAACATTCTAGACATATATTAGGATATAAATACACATCAAAAATGTAGTTCGATATAGATAGATCTAAACTGTGTGATTGAGTTTAGCCATAAAAAGTGTATAGTGGTGATTTCTTAAAGTGAAATTATCACAGGTTGTATTGTAATAACAGGGTAGAGAACTATAATTGTCTTGTCATTTGTGTTCTAAAGTAATTGAACCAGACCGTGTGAACTTTGAAAAAAAAAGGCATTTATTTAAAGCTCTGGGTACAACTGTGGTAACCAACAGTTGTAGTGGTAATTTTAAAGTGAAATTATCACAGACTGTATTGTAATAACAGAGCAGGAAGAATAAATCATCTTGTCTAATTGTGTTCTAAAGTAACTGAACCACCCTAGGTGGATTTTGATGAAAATAAAAGACAATTATTTAAAGCTCTGGATGCAACTGTGGTAACCAACAATGTAACAAACATTTGTATATACATTTGACTTGTCTTCATATATTATTTTAAAACAAGTGGACTGTGTATTTTGTTTTTTGCTGAAACTTATTGCCAACAAGTCATAGACACCTGCTGTAAAGAATCCAGCCCATACACAAGTACACATGGTTGCCGTTATGTTTGTCAGTTCTATTCATTCATTCAGTGCTCTTTGCTGATTTTGTGAATAACACTTTGCATATTCAGTACTCCTTTGAACCTGTGATTATCACTTCTGTTTACTTAGTACTCTTGGATGAAGCTATGGTAACCACATCTGGTTATTCAGTATTCTTAATGTTTTGACAGTCACTTCTAATTTTACAGTACTCTTGGTTGAAGTTACAAAAGCTGATGTATAGTTATTAGTTTTTAATGGCACATTAGAAAAAGATCAAAGAGCTTTCTTACAATGTAAACACTGTCTATACACATACATCACGTATAAATAATTCCCTTTGGAAAAACCTGTTTACAACCATTACATTAGCTCACAGAGACTATATTTTTTTGCTTTCCAATACTTTTTAGCTAACCTTTGCACCTTAACTGTGTTCTGTAAAAAAATTACCCATACTCTCTGCAAATGTGATGTGTTTTCAAGAGAACTTGTGAAAAGAAAATGATTTCATCACTATCGCTACAAAACTCTTCAAAGTCTTACTTGTGGGTTACTGGCCAAATTTAAAGTAGAATGTTACAACATTTTTCTTGAAATATTTTATTGAAGAATAAGTTTTTTTTGTATCAAAGATATTTTTTGTGCTGTATTTTGATCTCTGATATATATTTAATTTTCTCTAGTTTGTAAACCATATACATTAGACAGATTTTTCATACTAAACACTTTCAACCAGTTGTCCACATTTTGCTCTCCTTTGAGTTTTTCTTTAACAGCTTCCTTAAAATACTATCCATATCCATCATTTAGTTGTTTCATCCATGTTGATTCCTGTTTCTTCTCAACCCATGTTTCATCTAAAACAATGATATCAAAACTCTTAGCTCATTTTGTTATAAAATCCTGCCACATTCCAAAAAAGTAATTTTCTCATTTCATCATAGGTTAAAATCTCCTTTCCCTTGTTCCTGCTGTTTCATTTCAAGGGTTTTTTCCTAGTTTCTTCCATGACTTCAACGAATTTTGAGCACCTATTCATTGGTGAGTGGTTATGCTTTTCTGTATATTATCGTCTGACTTTTTCTCCAGCAGCAAGTTGTCTGATTTTCCCTCTTCAACAAGTTTTCCTTCTCCTTTCCTCTACTTCCAACATTTCCCATCTATACATAATTTCTGAAATCCCAACTTTGTTTATTTCCTTTTCCTCTTGCACCCCTGGCTACCTGGTGTAACATTACTTGGATCTTCCTCATTTCCAGTGCAATCTTCATCCAAAATATTGTTATCCCTTTTCTCTTGTTTCACTAAATTTAACTACAATTAGTCTGTCTCTTCCTTGCATTTTCTTTCCTACTCTATACATACATTCCAAGTTGTTTACCTTAATCTTCATGTTCTCTTCTAATTCTTTCTTAACTAAATGTTCACGTTGCTTCCAATATTCTTGATTGGGTTCTTTAAGTACCTTAACCACTAAATTATTCCATCTTGAATAATTCTCATGTTCTTCGACTTTACTTTTTCAGCCATATTATTTCTTTGTTCATAATTAAGACTTTCTCCTCTAAATCTGTCATTTTCTTTTCCTGATGTTCTTTACACTCTTTCAGTTACTTCTTTAATTTTCTCCAGCTTCTTATTTACTAATTTAATTTCCTGCATTGGCATTATAAACATGTCCTTCACCTCCATCTCTTCAGGCTCATTTTCTTGATTATCCTTCTTTCTTTTCATCTGCAGAGAACGCATAATTTTTCCTGAAGTGTCAAATGGATCTGTCCACTTATCATATGCAAAAAATGCTAGTTTTGACAAGCTACTACTTCCTTCTCATCCTTTTGCTATTGTACAGTGGTTTGGTTGCATGACTCCTCTTCAAAACAAACCAAAATGGAGAGGTATCAACGGCAGTCTTCTCTTGTAACTAATTCCTATATTTCTACTAACTAAAGATCAGTACAATTTATTACTTAAAATTGTAAAAACAGTCCCAAAAATGGGTTTCAATAATAAGCAAAATTTTTACATGGCAGCTTCCATTAAACTCTTGGAGGAGTGAGTCAAGGATGTCCATTAAACTCAGTGTTATTTAGTATTTTTATCAATGATTAAGAAGATGAACAGATCACAAGAAATGTTGGGGGAGCTGTTATTTGAAATAAAAATAACTGACCTTAAATTTGTTGACAACAGTGGTGCACTGGCCAACCATAGAAACAATGAGAGTAGTGGTTAAAGCTTGCAAAAAATGTGTAAATAAATTATTTGGTTATTAATCTGGAAAAATCAAAGTTGATGGTATTCTGTACAGAAGGGAAGCTTAGTAAAGAAGATAGGTGGACATACAAGGATCAGCCTATTGAGATGGTTAACAAATACAAGTACTTGAAAGTTTAGTTTTCTACAAAAAAATATTCACATGGAACACATTAAGCAGCAAAGTGGAAAGACTCAAAGGATCATTAATACAGTATGGAGTTTAATAAGGAAAAGTGGGATACAAGAGTGAAACATGAAGATATATCTTTTTAAAGGTCTTATTCAGAATATTTTTTGTATGGAGTGGAAGCTTAGGGCTGGAATGCTAACGAAGAGCTTGAAAGGCGCAAAAGAAAATATATGAAGAGGATTTTAAGTTTAGACAAAAATACAACAGATTACTTGTGGAGAATGGAAGTGGGAGAGACAAATCAGAAAAAGTATCAAATATGTTATCACAATTTTGAAAATGACAGAAGACAGATGCCTAAAGATTTGCTTGAAAGAGATGATGAAACTAATGGACTGTATCGAACAACCTACATGGCTCACTTTCTTTATCAAATGGTTGAACTAGGAGGGAAGTGGTGAAGTGATTCAACTCACAAAGAAAGAAGCCCTATTGAAGGAAATCATGAGAGCATTACAAGAGGTGCTTCAGTAAATGATTGAACAAGAAATCCAAGTAATGTGGACTACTGTGACTTTTTTAAAGATATTAAGAAGTCAACTGGAAAAGAGAATCACTTGGTCAATGATAAAAGTAGCGAGACCAACAGAATTGTATGGAAAAGACTACGATATAGAAATGTTCACAAGAGAGGGAAAAAAACTGGATATCAAATGATCAAAGATGTACCTATTGTAACCAGGAAGAAATAACTATTGATCATATTTTTGAGTATTCATACATAAGGAACAATCCAACATGGAATTCAATAATCCAAGGGCTGGAGGAAAAAGGAGCCAATTGGTGAAAACAATTATTACAGAATAAACCAAACTAATATTTTAAAATACATTTTAGCATATACAAAATGAAGTAATGAACAATTTCATTGAAGAGTGTAACAAACCCCCCTTCCTAAGAAATTGTAAATGTTGTGGAATAAGTAAATATTTATTATTACTAAACAGTTCTCCTACAGTGTTTTTGTGAAATGTTTTTTTTACTCTTAAGACATTGTTTTACATTCATAATTCAGTAAAATCGCACACAATCACCTTCCAATTTCTTGTTCATGGAACATCATAATAAAAAGCAATAAAGTCTGCAATGATCAAGATTTCTCAGTACACAATTCAGCATGTGTTATTCTTCGTTGATTTATGCGCAAGGCTACTCAAAAGATATCTGTGCTAGCCATCCCTAATTTGGAGGTGAGAAACTAGAGAGAAGCCAGCTAATCAACACCACCAGTTTCCGACTCATAGGCTACTCTAATCAAATAGTAGGACCTGACCATCCCTTATAATTCACTCATGGCCTGAAAGTGCAGAGCACAATTTATTTATTTATTGAAGGTGCCAGGGGGTGAACCAGGGAACCTTGGAATCGAAGTCCGGCATGATGACCACTGGGCCATGCAATTCAGCATGTGGATGACCAGTTTTGTTGATGAGGATCACAGAAGTTCAAGTTATACATGAATGATCAACTTTTCTGTTCATGATACAACATACAGTTTCTATATTTATAGATGTAAATGTGAGACACGTACTTTCTTTACAGTAAACATTCTAAGTGAATCAGAAACATTACTTACCATAAACCATCAACTTCTCCATGGTAAATCAAGCCACTGCCAGCAGCTTGAGTGAAATTCATTAAAGCCAAAAACAGTGCATACCAGTAAAATGATTTTTTGGCTGAAACATAAACAAACAGTATCACAACATGAGCAACTTTTCCACAAAATTTGATATAAAAGTTTATTAACTGAAAGGTTTCAATAGAGAAGAGTTAATAGTGTTTGTAGTAAAAGTTTTAAATGAATTAACAATACTTAAGTTATACATCTTATATCTAATTTCCTTTCTTAACTCTTACATTTAATTTTATATATCCATCTCCAGTATATTGACAAATTTACCAAATTTTATAACTTTTTTGCAAAACACAAATAATAATATTTCTGGGCTTCCTCATTTCAAACAAAGCTATTCTTTTTTATATCTACTACTTACAAGGAAGAGCCAATCTTTCTCTCATTCTCGTCCAAGGCAGGATAAAAATTACAGTATATACCTTAAAAAAAGAAAGAACAAATGTTACTGCATGCTTACAAACAACTTACAAGATTAGTTAAAGATAACTGTTTGTTATGGTGAAAATATCACAAACGTTGCTGTTTCAGTAGTTTTTCATAGCAGAGTGACAAACAAAAGACAATCAAGTATTTATGGATAAACAAGTTTAAAGTTTCTATAATATGGTGTAATGACAAATAAACATTTATACAAGATACCACCAAAATCTAGACAACCACAAAACTGAACAGCAAAATATTTAACTACAGTGGTCACTACAGAGTTGTGGAATTGTACTATTAGCTATATTCACATGGCACAAGTCTTGCCTTTTCTTTCTGCTAAAGTTAGTGAGCTGTAAGTTGAGACATTTTCATTATTAATTTATTGTAACTAGTAAGGCTACAATATGACAATAAATTTATCAATAAATTAAACTGTGACTTCTAAACTGATGGCAATGCCTATAATGAAAAAATTCTATAAAATATAACTGGAAAACTCATTTTTAATCATTATTATATGTACAGCTTGTTTCTGTATGAAAAGGAATCTAAAACCAATGAAACTGATTTAAACCAAGTCAGAATTTTTGTTACTCAGACCTCCTAGCAGTGCCCACTGCTGCCAACTTTTAAAATAAAGGTTTAATTTTACAAATTACAGGATAAAATAGAATGAAATACAGCTATTTTACGTAAATCTCTATTACTGAAATGCTATATTATAACTGATTAAGTTGTACAAAACCAATATATATTGTACATATTTCAAACATAGTTGTTTTTCCATTTTCTACCTAACAACTGAGAACTAAGTACTGACAAGTACTGTTAGTCCATCTAGGCTATTCCATCCACTACACCAAACTCTAAAATAAAAATAAAACACTCAAAGCCATTCCTTATCACTCAAATATTTATCAAACCTTCCATAAAACTCCCTTAAATTAACTACTTCCACCACTTTTGAAGAAAACAAGTTAGAGATCTTAATCTACCCTCATATGACAACCTTTCCATCCCAGGTATCATCCTCGCTTCCCTCCCTCTAGCCCTTAACAACAATTCAATGTCCTTTCTAAGGTAAGGAGCCTAAGATTGAATAGTGTTACAAATGTGGTCTAATCAATGGCCTATACAATAATATTATAACCTCTTCAGACTTGTATTTAATATTTCTGCCATTAACTTGAACGAGTTAAACCCTTCTGTGTCAGGCTTTTTTTTGGAAATGAGCTAAAAATCTTAGATTTTTTATTTCACATTTTGATAGCCTATACTTATTTGTTAATGAAACAAAAGTTCTTTTATGATCTGTTATTTCTGCATGAAATATGCTTGATACTTTAATGTTACATATCTGGATTTATACTTCATATGTATTATTTCAATGAAACTATAGTAAAGAATAGGAATGCTTTTCTCCATTGCTTATGATACATAATTCAGAATAAATCTGATAGAGATCAGCTCAAACAGCTTTTCCAATACCATCTACCAAGCACTGATTTTAATACATGATAACGTGAATAAATTTGGGCAGATAATAAAAAATATGGTGAGAAATGGTTTACCCAAATTATCTTGGGCAAATCACAGAAGAGGTTAAGACACTGATTAACCAGACCACCAAGATCTTTTTCTTACATAGCACTGTTTAGGTTATTCCAATCAAAATTACACTCGTGATTTAACGTGTAATATACCACATGCATCTGCTGTTTATTCACCCAACTCACCAAATCATCCAAATCCATTTATAAAGCAGCATCCTCCTCCTCCTGATGGCAAGAAATAACTAAAATCTTAATTTCATCAGCTAATTTAAATAATATATTGACCATTCCTCCATTTATGTCATTTATATAAATTAAAAAAAACAAACAAAGGTTCTAACAATGAACCCTAAAATATTTCAACTATGGCTTTAATCAAGTTTGACTGAATTCTATTTTCAACAACCCACTATTTTCTTCAATTGAGTCAATTTTATATCCAATGAGCCAACCTATTCCCCATATATACAGGTAACTTTTTAACAAGCTTTTATGTGGCACTTTATCAGATGCTTTCTGAAATTCCAGATACATCAAATCCATACCCATACCTTCATCTACATAATCAATTTTTCAAAGAATGTCAAAAGATTAATAAAATAAGATTTTCTCCTTGTGAAACTATGCTGACCATCCAACAAAATTTTAAAGTTAAACGACTTTGCAAAGCATCTTTTATCAGACTTCCAAAAACTTTTTCAATCATTGAAGTAAGACTAATAGAGGCCTATAATTACTGGGACAATTTTTATCACCTCTCTTGAAAAGAGGCATAACATTAGCCCACTTCCAGTCTTCTATTAATTCATAAAACTTAGAAAAAGTTGTAGCAAGTGGCTCACATATCCAATCTGTAACCTCCTTCAAAACCATTAGGTAAGTATTATACAGCTAAGAAGCTTTATTATTCTCTATACTTCCCAATTGAACCAGATGATCACATTAATTCTAAGCTTAACAAGGTTAATATTACTGTGATCATCTGGTTCAATTTTATTTCCATCTAGCAACTGTTCAGGATGAGGAATACTGTTTAAAATTTCATAAGTAAAAAATGAAGAGAAAGTATAGAACTTAACTCAGATATCCCATAATCATCAGATATTAGTCTTTCTGTATATTATCCCTCAAAGGCCCTACTTTACTCTCATCCTAACATTTTGCTAACCCTTAATGAATTTAAAGAAATATTATTAGACTTTTACATTTTAAACCAACCTTTTTTTTTCATATACGTTCTTGATTTCCTAATTTCCTGCTTCACCAACACTCTCGAAATATAACCCTTCAAATCCTATCATTGCAGTCAAATTAAAATTTATTAAATTTATAATACTTTTCTTTAATTTTATCCTTCAAAAGCCAACATGGTTTTTCACATGCCAATCTTGAATATTTAAGAATTTATTTTCTTTTAAATTTTCCATATTAGATCAATATCTCCAATTAATTCAGTTTCCTATTCACTGCAGATAATTCTTGTCTCATCCCTTCAAAACTTGTTTTTTTTAAATTTGGAACCAACATCTTTGAACAATTATACAGGTTCACTGACAGACCTGGTTATTATAGTTGTAGCTGCATAAAAGAAAGATAATGGCAACTGTAGGTTGTGACAAAGAAGTTATCTGTATACATGAGAGTTGTAATTTATGAGTCGGATAGTTGAATAGACTGCAACATAGATTTTCCATATCAGACTGGTAAAACAAACCAAATCATACCCAGAAAGCAAATAATAATAAAATATTTGATTTTGATCTGGGGTATTGACCAAACATAACAGATGAAAAATAAGAATAATAAAACAGGGGGAAACATTCTGAGGGGAAAGAGGGCAATAGCATAAATCTCTAATCTGATAACTTAAATATAAACAAAACTTATGTACCAATAAACACATTTTCTCATGTTTCAATTATATGTGGACTACATAATAAAACACTGAACATTCAAGAAATATTATGATAATACTCAACAGTATGCTCTTTCAATAAGGTTTTTTTTCTATCAAGAAAATTAATATTGATATAAATAAAATAATAATAACAAATAGATTTTAGTACTTACTACAGCAAAAACAATGGAGCTAACAAACCAGAAGAGCATGCCTCCATGAGCAAAGATGTCATAGTCTTTGTGAACAATGTGAAAGTTTTCATCGGGTACTACTATCTCTAAAGCACCCTGAAAAACAAATCCCTGAAACTATCATATCTATACCTTAAATAGTACATCCACAAGACAGAGTTTTAACACACAATTCTCAAAGTGTCATAGTTCTCACCACAATTCCCAAACTATCACAGGTACGTCCTGCAACAGTACATCCACAACAGTTTTCACACAATTTTCAAACTATGACAGGTACGTCCTAAAACAGTACATCCACAACAGTTCTCACACAATTCTCAAACTATGACAGGTACGTCCTACAACAGTACATCCACAACAGTTCTCACACAATTCTCAAACTATGACAGGTATGTCCTAGTCCTAAAATAGCTCATTCACTTTACAAAACAGTTCTCATACACAACTTAAAAACTGTCACATTCACAACACAGTGCTTAGACATCTCTTAAACAATGACAAGCATGTCCAACAAAAATACATCCACAAAATAATTCTTACACACAACCCTCAAATTACTAGAGCTCATACACTCCACTACACAGTTCTGACACATAATTCTCATACTACGACGGGCATGCCAAACAATAGTTTATACACAAGACAGATTTCTGTTATCATTAAATCTTAAGTCAAAACACAATAATCATTTAACAATAGTAGTTTGTTTAATTATACCCAAACCACACATCTCACATTATCTTAGATACTCTAAGCTTGCACATAAAAGAAAAAAATGCCAAGATAATAAAAAATAGATATATTGCTTCTTTCTCTTTTTTTGACACCAATTTGAAGAAAGACTTTACACAAATCTTAGTACAACTTTTTTCAGCGATTGAATGTCCTCAAAGAATAAAAAATAACATTATAGATTTCTATTGATTATAAAACTTTCCAAGAACTTGCAATTAAAAAGTTCTTTATGGGGACTGGACAGAAACGTGTATATATAAATATAGTTACAAAATAATATACCATTTACAATGAGTTAGCAATATTGGCAGCCTTAAGTGATTTTTAACTCTCTCCCTAAAGAATAAAATATTTTATACTCTTATTTACTTTCAAAAATATTTATCTGCTATATATTATTGTATGAAAATATAAACAACTGTACCTGTGAACTTGAGTAAGCCAATGAGATAAATGATGTAACAAGCAGGACCCTCCTGATACTTGTATTACTATCCAGGTGACCTGAGTGTGGTGAATCAAATTCTTTGATACTTCTCATATATATACTTGAAGATTTTTGACATTACAAAAAATATTGCAAAATGTGGAAAGTTACAAGATCCACAAATATTTACACTTCCCCACCAAAGCATATCTCTTTTAATATGTTAATGTATTTTTTGGATTTCTTTAAACTTACTTCAAATATTTAACTGACTATCTTCACATGGAGAAGTTTGTAGATCCTCAGAAAATGAACTGATACAATTGCTAATTCACTTTAAAACCTTTTTTTCAGCACCATCATGTGTACAAAACCAACATACTGAGCTCAAGTGTGGTAACAAAAAGTCTTTATTATCTTTACTTAGTCAAGATTTTTAGGTTTTCTATAAATGTCTATTAGAAATCCTTTCCTGGATATTGTGTTCACAATACTAGGAAACTTCATTATACCAATGGTTTCTAAGAATGTGATAGCATATATGCTCCTGTTTTATATCTTGTAATGCTGGGAAGACTTCTGCTAATGCTAATAGTAACTAAGAATAGTGTATCTGATACTTGAGACAAGACCCTGTTGGAAAATATTTCTTGAAATGATAGGATGAATTGTATTATGTCAGCAGTCTCTAAGTACAAGAATTTTTTTTTATAATGTAATAAAGACTTGTATTATACTAGTAGCCTCTAAGTAAAGTATACTTGATATTTCATACAGGCCAATGTTAGAAAGTATTAAGTAATTCTTTGAAGATTTGTATTACACTTATAATTAAGTACATTGTGCTTGATACAAGCTCCAGTTAGAAGGTACTTCTTTGTAATGCTGTGAAGACTATTATCAATTGCAAAAACCTACTAATACTTTTGTCATATGTACTCTGTGATAAGATATTTTTGCCTCTAGTTTAAAATGTGCTGATGATATTTGAATTCAACTATAATGCATTAAATAATATTACTCCATGTATTAACATATCTTCACACTCACCAAATGCTAGTCCAAATACCAGAACACTCATTTCTGTAGAGAGCAAAAAGAAACGCACCACAACCCACAAAATCTGAAACAATACAAAAAATATGGTCATCATTTATATTTATATAAATGTTTCTTTAAAACGGCAATGTTTATTTGAGAAGAAGCTGACTGTTCCATAACTACAAGATCTTGTTGGGATACTTAGATTTCAATAACTACAAGATCTTGTTTGGATACATAGATTCCAAAAACTACAAGATCTTGTTGGGATACTTAGATTTCAACAGCTACAAGGTCTTGTTTGGATACATAGATTTCAACAGCTAAAGTCTTATTGGGATACTTAGATTCCAACAGCTACAAGGTCTTGTTTGGATACATAGATTTCAACAGCTAAAGTCTTATTGGGATACTTAGATTCCAACAGCTACAAGGTCTTGTTTGGATACATAGAAAGGTTTGTTTTTTATTCTTTATTTTTTGATAACTTCATTGATATAACAGCAAAATAGTTTATTTCAGAAATGATTTAGATTTAGAACTGATATTTTTTTTCATAAGAAGTTTTATACACTTGGGCCTAGGATAAGTTATTGCACACTACGTCTTTACATTAGGCTATCTTATTGCATCATGTTAAGTTAAACAACATTTTATTTATATTTTTTTCAGTTGTTTAATTAACATCTGTTTTTTGACACCAAGGATTTCAAGGAAGTGGTGTTTCAACTAAGCCTTATGTTATGTTTATATATTAGGCCTAATGTTTAAATTAGACTACAAATAGACCTACTATTACTAATGTTAGAGTCACATAATATATATTTATGTGTGTATAAGTTTGAATGCATAATATTTAAATTACACAGTTAAAGAAATATTAATTTCTTTAACATTTACATACTTCGTTATAACACATGAAAATTTACAACATGAATAGAAAAATAGGAATGTAAAAATGTTTAAAAATGTTGTATTATGCACCAATAACTAAAATGCTGAAAATTTTTCCAATTTCTTGTGGGATGCTTTTTAACACTATCAATAACATGTAAACATCGTCAATGTTATGAAATATTATGAAACAAAAATATGATTTTTAATATGAATAAAATTGTTGTTAGTTAATTTATAGCAATCTTCACAGAATTTTCTTAACACCCATCATTTTTGACGGGCTATACACTAGTATAAGTAATATTAGCTAATACTTATTAATATAAAAATGTCTAAGAGACATAAGAAAATTTTTTGTAGGTATTTAAATTTCATATAACAGTAAAAATTTAAAACACTTTCAACATACTCTGTAATTAGCATGTAGTGATCTTCATCTTAGTACACACCTTATCTGTTAAATCTCCAGCAAATACTGCAGCATTCACAGTCATTGAAACTATGCAGCGAATCACACTGACAACAGCATTGACAACAACCTGAAAGGCAAAGAACAACATCTGTATATGTACTTGTTGTTTAAAAGAACCTGAAGAACAATAGGAGAAACTACGGCACAATGTATAGATTTACAAAATTACACATCACTAAAAAAAAAGAAGTTTAATTTCCAACTATGCAAGGATAGAATCAAGCAGAGCACTGATTAATAGCTGAACTTTTATACCTTAAGAATTTTTTCAAATATGATGTTAAACATATATTTTCATAGTTATATAAATACTGTATTATTACAGTATTTTAACTTTTTATTTTCCTTTTGTGGAACAATAGTCAGTAATTATGATGTTTCAAGTAAGGGATATAGAGAACTAAAATCCCAAAGAGCAATATATTTATCATCAGACAAATAAATTAAACTAGTTTGTACAAAAGTAGTAAACAAACCTTACAAATATGATAGAAAATTCAGAAGCATGTATTAACCTAATTCATGAAATGAAACCTACACATTGCTGAGCTAACTAAAGAAGCATGAAGAAAATCTGTTTATGCAAAAGATTTGACAACTAAAAACTAACACTAGAAACAAAGAATTAAGTAACTTCATAGAAAAAATATATTATAAAAAAACAAAATAAAGCTGACCATTCATCAGATGCATGCACTAAAACTAGTTCATGTAACAAACCAACCGAGAGCTTATTCATCATAAGAAGCAAGTGCAGTATATTATACTATCCCAAGCAAGGATTAATGCAATTTTATGACTATTCACACCTTACTCATAAGAATGTTAACTAAGTGCAGAAAATTTTACATACCTGAGTAGATAATTATTTTCTAGGTTAATTGCTGGGTAAAACAGCAATTTTTCAATTGCTACATTGCACAACTAGTTAATATGTGCTTCTAATGGTGAGTAGGTTTTTAGGGGTAAAGTTTGTTGTTAGAAGTAATTTAATGATGGTTGACTCTGAATATATTTGTATTGCTGATGTTTGTTCCACAAAATAGTTTAATTCATGTTTGTGATGATGGAATAACTGTGGATATGTTTGAAGGACTAAGCTTGGTGAATTAACTAATTTGATAATGGATCAACCCTTAACAAGTTTTTAGGGCTAAAATTGTGGCATGAACTAGTTTAACATATGTTTCTGATGGAGTATTAACACTGAGTTTTAGTGTTTAATATATGAACTAGTTTGATACACTGAAAAGTTGTGTCCTTTCTCAGAGAAAGAGCTCATGTTTATATATATTTTAGTGTTAGGACAAAATCCATTTCTGTTATACATATTCAAATAGAGGTCAACTCCTAGCTCTTACTAACTTCTACAGACCTCTGTATACCCTTTCACTTGGCTATGACTTACATCCTAGAGAAGCAATAATACAGAAGCATACACAATTATAAGCTCTATGAAATGATTCTTTTTTTGAGGAGTGAATTGTTCTTCCTAGCCACTCAAACAGTCAGACCCAGCATCTTCACTGTTTGTGCTTAAACAAGATGGAATCCTCAATAGCCATCGTACTTGAAATTAATTTAGGCTGGATCAGAGTAAATTAATCCCCCGAGACCTTTTTTTCCTTTTTATTAGCTATATTTTTGTGCACCAGCAATACCAAGAGTGGGGTGCGTGGATACCTGATTCAATTTTATTACTTATCAAGAACTCTACCAGCATACCCTCAAATAAAAATCCTTTAAGGAAGGATTAGAGTAAATTAATCTATGAGACCTTGGACATGGTCAAATATATCATCAATTGAAAGAGTTTGACCTCCTGAGTTCAAAACTGTAATTAGATCTCAAATCGGTCAAGAGATGACGAAGCTATGAGCTAAAAGTTTGTACTTGTGGATTGTAATACTTGCCTGTACTTCTTTCTTCCAGTAAATTTTCTGGTTACTGTAAAGATTATGTATCAAGACAAGGGCAGGGCACTTTCACCATATAAGGTGATGGTGAGAATGAAAAGGTATTTAAGGAGGAAACACAATCTGAGAGTGTGGCAAGGACAAGGAGAGGTTCTTTCTTGGAACACCTTTGCCAGCTATAGTGGTAGCTATGTCAACATTTCCAGTCCATTCTTACAACTGAAAAGTTTATGGTTATCTAGAGGAAACCTTGACAACTGCAACTCAACAACCACTGGTTGCAATAGTAAATTAAATTCACAAACAATGATTTGTAAGCAAAAAGATATTTAGTGTAGAAAACATACATTATCAACAGTACCTTGGTATGTCTACTTCAGGTATGAAACTAAAACTAGGTAAACAAGGTTTATATACAAAGACAACTGAAGTATAAGAATACAAGGTACATAGATCAAAGGAATATTGTCAGGTATGAGCAATGAACTTTTAAAAGCAAGGTTTATAACATAAGAAAATTGGCAGGGCTTACCAATCATGGAAAAGAACAATAAGAGAATAAACAGTCAAAGTTCACTAATGTTGACAAGAACCACTGTCACAGTTTAGGACTAAATCACCTGCTTTTATGATTTCAACAGCTTCTAAACCTTTGCATTCTTTGCAGATGATCATGGATCATTGGCTTTCTTTTCATACGTATAGATTAATATCTGGAAGCATTGGAAGGAATTCAAGGTTTCAGTATCCAAGATTTGGCTTCCAGGTACTGGCAAGTCAAAATGGACAATTAAACTAGGTCTAAGGCAGCTTTCAGCACTCAGAAAAGACTGTACAAATTCCACAACGTACCATTTTGTAGGTGTAACGCACCTGTCAATTTTGAGAGACTGATGAAGTTTAAGCTTAAAGTACTGCTATGGGTGAGATGTCTCATCCATGTGGTTGACATTTTATTTTGAGGACACAGCCAAGAACCTGAGAACAGTATTTCAGCATATCAAAGATGCAGCCTTGAAAGTGGTGTGCTAATGTGCCTCAGAGATATCTCTAAGTCACATACACAAGGCAGGAAAAGTATATCTAGTGGTCTTATGAACACTGCAAAGGTCAAGAAGAACAAGCACCAGCTTAACTCAAAACAAGAATCACAGTTTTTCATTGTTTTACAAATGATTTGTAACCAGCTTCTTGAAGAAAGCTTCATCACACTATATCAACTACTAAGGCTGATATACTCTTTGTTTGGATGAAAGTGCTTAAGAGCATAAAACATTAAAAGAGGATAAGCCATTCATACTGAATAATGAAACCAGTAATTGTGGAATAGGAGGAGTTTGGTTACAGGTACAGTATGTAAGTGTGAATGCAAGTCATACACTAAAAACATCCTAAGTACTGATACTGTACTGAAAATGAAGGAAATACTTCCACTTGTACTATTTGTCAAACATTACTACCATCACTAGTATGTGAGGATGTTCACTATTTAAGTGGAATATGTGTCATTAAAATGGTTTTCTTACACTTGTAAGTTTAAAAAAATTGGAAGTTATGATTGCACATTACACAACAATGTTTTAAGAATACAGTTTTGTTGTACAACACTCTTTGAGTCAGCAGAAGAGAAATGCTCATAGACTACCTGGCCCACTGATAAGATTATGTCTGTTCCCCAAGTGTACAAATCCTGGGCAGTTATCAAAGTCATTGCAGCAGCAATGATGATGAACAGTAACAATCTGGCTTGTGGAAGAACACCATGAATGATCTAAGATGTGGTTTTGGAAGAGTAAATGAAATGCTTACACACAGCTTGGATGCTATTTGCTGTGTAGCAAGGTGAAGCATGATAAACCATGGAGCATAGTACTGATGCATGCTGTATCTAGACCTCGTACAGAAGGTTGAGTACATTATATTAAAATTATTTTAAATATTCAACTCAGCAATTTACATGACAAACACAGCTGATGAAAAGTCAGGTGGAATGGCTACCTACATAACATTAAGCATTGTAAAGATGTAGTTGTGATACAATCAAAAATTGACTGCTTTTGGTAAAGATATGTTACACAGCCATTTTTGATGCAAAATATTTATACACTCATATCATAAAGATGTGTACAGATCTATACATTTTTCAAAATTGGGATATCCATTTTTCTTAATGGCATTGGAAAAACAAAGGAATATGGATCAACTTGAGGTACCAGGATCATCCAGAAAAAAAACTGCAACAACTCATATACCAGACATTGTAAGCAAATTGTTGAGTCTTGTAACAGGTAAGAATTACCTGTTACAAAGGTCAATGGTAAAAGCCATTCACATTCCCCAAGTAACAATATACAACATAATCAAGAAGGATCTCTATCTGGAAAATCAAAATTAGTCATCTGTAGATAATTTGCATCCACGACATATCTGTTCAACTGCCATATACTACTAAGAGCTGGAGAATGAAACTAGTATATATCAACATACTGGTAAAGTCATTGGACACAATGCCTATGGACTTCTGAGCAACCAGCCACCAGTATCATCCACATACAATAGATGGATTATGATAACCAATCAAAGAGGAGTATTGTGCTTTGGACATGACAGCCTTACTACTTTTTGCGATGGAAACTATGTTGTAGGGCTACTGTCAACACAAAGTCTTTTGACAGAGCATGACTGGATGGTGACATGGACTGCATCAACATTGCAATGCTCCAAAATGGTTTTAATATAATGTACTCAACCTTCTGTAAACTTTTTTTTTCACTGTGGTAAAAGAATATTTTTTCTTTGTCTTTATAATCACAATTATTGGCTAGTTGTGAATGAAAGAAAACCATAGTGAACCAATTGTTTTTAGTGGTTTTGATTTAAAAACTAATTTTATTTATAAAATTTAATATTTCTAACCTTTGTGGGTATTATCAATTTTTCTCTCAATGTTATTTCAGAAAAAGGTCATTGTTATCCCTTTGTCAATGGTGTACATCCATTGGATTGACCCTGTTATTGTGAAACTATACATAGTGATGTTTATTATAACTCTAAATGTACTAAGTATGTCATCATTAAAAGTGGCATGCTTTTAGTAAAAATTACAAGTCTGTTATATACAACAAAGCAGATTTTTTTTAAATAAAGTACTTATACTAAAGATTTGTCTGTGAATTTATGAAAACTTTACTGAGTCAGTAAGTGAAAGGTGATTTTCATGATAATAATAATAAAAATACTTTTTTCATCTTACAGTTTTAATATTTAACTTGCATAGCCCTAGAAAATCAAAGGTTTTTTTGTAAAACTTTATATTTTATTTTCTCTACCATAACTGTAGCAAAATCAATGTACAGAGGGACAAAAAACTAAAAATACAAATTAAAATCATTATATTTTTATTTCCAGAATGGCTGCAGGTTGCAGCATACAATTACAATGATTCATGGAAATGATCTCTCTCTAACATTTTCACATATCTACTTGCTATTAATTTTATCACTTAACAATGTTCTTTAGATCTTATATGACAGGAAATTCACCATGGAGGGTGAACTTAGTTTAGATTGGTTTGAATTTTACTCAAAGCTATTTGCACTAGCCATCCATAATTTAGCAGTGATAAACTAGAGGGAATTCAGCTAGTCAACTCGGCCCAATGCCAACTCTTGTGCTACTCTTACCGACAAATAGTGGGACTGACTATCACATTATATTGCCCCCATGGCTAAAAGGGTGAGCATGTTCAGTGATGGGGATTCGAACTTACAACCCACAGGTGTATCGAGCACCCTAACAACGAAGCCACGTCAGACCTAGGTGAACTTAGTATAAAAATGTGATCATGTTACAATCATGTGATGCAGTTACTTTTAGCTGGTCTTATAAGACTGTTTAATTTACTTTTTTTTGTTATCCAACCTAATAGCTTTCTAATTTTTACATTTTGGTTATGTTTTTGAAAAATATATAATAATAAATATACATAAAAAACAAGAAATTTTGGACTCACATTAGAATTAAAATCTATTTCAGTAATTTGTACATAACAGCATACTTACTTTACACTAGTTTTTCATACTGTTTTGATTCTCCACAAAATCTTTAATGTTTCTTTTAAATATGAATTTTAGAACACATAAATATATCAGGCACTAAAATACAATGTCCCAGAACTACTACTATAACTCAGCTATAGATAGGTTAAAAACTATTAACTGTTCAAAGCAAACATCACAGTTGTAAGAAATTAAACTGAGGCTAAATATCTACTTATGGGTGCTAAAATGAAATAACAGTACAAGAAATCTTGTAAAGAAGAGGCTGCTCTTTCAATTGGTTATAAATAATCCAATAGCAATGTCAGTGTGAATCATTTTTAATTTTTTGAAAGATAGAATGATATGAGAGGGCCATATGTGGGTTTGTACTTTTTTTTTTTCATCTACAAAAAAAAAAAAGCAAAAAGATTGGAATTTCTAAATTTATATTCTGGCTTTTCAATATCTGTAGTACGAGTTTCTCATTAGTTGGACACTCAGAAAATTATATAAGGCTAGAAAGAAAATCTAAAATTAGCAATTCAGAGTGCAGGGGCATCAAGTGACAAAAAGTGAATATTGAGAATTTATTTAACAAATAGCCCATTTGATTTAATTATTCTAGCTTTCAGTTGTTTTTATTGCTTATAAATGAATTTCTACTGTTTTTTCTGTTTAACTGTGTAAATAATTGTTTAATTCTGTGTTTTATTCTAATTATTTTATGTTCTATTTGCCCTAGTTTTTACTTTTTTTTTGGTTTGTTTTGTTTTGAATTTCACACAAGGGCTATCTATGCTAACTGTCCCTAATTTAGCAGTGAAAGACTAGAGGCAGCTAGTCATCACCACCCACCGCAAACTCTTGGGCTACTCTTTTACCAATGAATAGTGGGATTGACTGTCACATTATGATGCCCCCACAGCTGAAAGGGCAAGCAGGTTTGGTGGGATGGGGATTCAAATCTGCGACCTCAGATTGCGAGTCAAGCACCCTAACCACCTGGCCATGCCGGGCACAACTTTATTTTGAGTTCTTACCCTATGATTTTGTATCATGTTCAATTTTATTGATGTTATTTTTAACTTCTAAGTTAATTAAATTTTGTTCTCTCTTAGTTTTTGTATAAAACATAATGGTAATAACATTAACCACCAATCACAAGAAGCTAACTATTTAGATCAAAAATAAAATCAAGCTGGTTATGAGTAAGTATAGCTAAATAAATATACTTTTCTTACATTCTTTCTTATAAAGATTAGAATGCAATATCTCTGGCCATAAACTCAATAATAGGTCACAAGGTTTAATCTTATAGTTATTTACTTAAGTTTCATTTATTCTATTTGTTTGTAGAAACTGCTAAGTGATATATATAGATACATACACACACACCTATCATGGCATAGAGGCAAAGAAGATGATTTGTAATGGTTGCAACTATGCTAGATACTTCATTCAGCCTTTTAAAGCTAAGGAGGTGAGAAGTGTAGAAATTGGAAATCTCTATATAGTACTCCTTTATAGCATAGAAAATAATGTACCTTTATTTATGTATTTTTAAGTAAATTACCCAAATATTCTTGCAAGTTTTCTGCATTTAGAACAGTGTGTGAAAACCTGTAAGCATGCACTAATCCTCCCCTTGGGTTAGGGTAACATACTACGTTGATCATTTCATTGAACTTATATTTATTGGTTCATAGTATACTCACCAACTTCCCATCTTTTATTGACAGAAGATACAGTTCTTCCATCTTTTGTGAAGTTTTTGTTCTTCTTACATGCTCCAGTAGTCAGTACAAGAACTCATTAGCTAGCCAGTAGCAATTAAAATGACAATTACTAGTAATTAGTATCTGTTTATTATTAAAAAAGTTATTATTTGCTAATTAGACTTTGGTGATCAAATAGGCTACTAATCTTGACAGTGTTTGATATCTGGTTGCCACAATCTTAGGATAAGCAAATATATACATTAGCCAAATTAGAATGATCCTGAAAGTACAATAGAAAATGCTTACTAAGACATAAAAAGCATAAAATATTGGACTGCTTGTAGCTCTCAACTTCATCCTAGCTCGGTTGAATCGGAATGCAAGAAACAACAGGAACAAAACATTGGGGATAAGTATGCTCAAATCCCAAATTCGGACTCTGAAAGAAAAAAATTCATTCTCTCTTTGATAGAATGTAAATGGTACTTATACCATGTTTTTGTGTAAATATATAATGTATATGAAGAAATCAGCTGCAATATTCCAGCTTTATAAACCTGTTATAGTGAACTTCTCTAAATGATAGTAATGTTAATTCAAGTAAACATAAATAAATATTTGTGTTATTAAACCTTACTATAATTCTAGCATATAAATTACCACAATAAAGTTGATCATAATTACGCTTAAATCACTGTAATGGTATAAACTAGATTAAGTAATTTAAGTGTAATTATTATTATTTTATTTGTCATTTACAAATAAAAATTATATTAAGGTTTAATAACACAAGTATTATTTACTTTACGAACAATAATTGTTTATTATTATTTTTACTTGAATTAACCTTACATTATCACAGTTGTTTTTCATTCAACTGATGATATAAATAGCTCCGAGACCACTACTATGTCTGCCCTATCCTAGCTACCACAATGAGCCCTGCTATTGGGAGAAAGGCCTCATTGGCATTGGAAACGGAAGATATAGTGTGATTGACATTATTACACATTATTTTATTTCACACTTCACTTTTTAGAATTAAATGTACATGTATATAAAGACAAATACAAAATTCTAGCACTATAAAGATGTTATAGGGTAGTTTTCCTTAAACATATGAGAACATAGGAAAAACTGGTATTATTGAACAATGTAACCTAGTGTGATATGTTACAATTTAAGTCTCTGAGAGATACAAGGTACACTATGCATATAATTTTCATTTTATTTATATTACAACCAACATCTCCACTATAAAAAATGGGGAAAAAATTCTTATTATACACTTCTGTTTTGTGTAAATACACAAAATATTAACAATATGAAAATTATATGGAAGTTTAATTGTATTTTTCCGAAAAACAATTTGGCATGATCTTGCTTAGCTTACAAAAAATTCAGGTACATGTATACAAGTATACCAATGCATAAAAGAATCAAAACCTGTAAGACTTCTTTCTGAATACATTTTTGTATGTTAAACCATTGGACAATCAATAAATTTACAGTTAGTTCTAAGTTATTTTTATCTTCTTTGAAAATTACAAAAAAAGTTTAATCAAAAACTTGGTTTACATTATTACTGATTACTTTATGATACAATACACTATTTTCTTTTAAAATATTGTGATCTTCATGATTACAGACAACAAAAGACAGAGTCAAACTCATGAATCATCTAATGATTCAGGCCAAATGAGTCATGCTGTGCTAAACAAAGAACATTAGTTGCTACTACTAACAGTATAAACCAATTATTGAAATACAATACTAGTTAATAATTTGAATTTTTTATACATGAATTATAAGTAGTTCATTGGCATAAAACAAAATATGATGTATTTTGATTTTTCTATAATTCATTTCACTATACAGTTAAACCATAAGTAGAAATACAGGTTTAGTTTGAAGTAACAAAACTCTAGCAAGTTATGCAGAAATGATTTGTTACAATTAAATGAGCAGGAATGTGGTAATGCATAGAGAACTAAGCACTGTTAGAATAAAAAGCATGAAATGAGTTACTTCCACAAATGTACAATGTAAATATGGGCACAAAAGGCAGAAACAATAGCTCATGTTATACATCAGTGTGTATTTAAAAAAACTAACTTCAACTCTTGTGTACTAGACTTAATGTAAAATATAAAACTTGACATTTCTGTAACATACAACATCAACTTTAATGAAAATTCCACTAACAAAATCAATTACATTTGAGCTACTTTATAAGACTCTTAGTGTGTATAGTACAGTGAATACTGGCTCCACACCCTTGCTTTTAATAGAGTACATTCCCTAATGAACTAGCCCCACCTTTTGTGGACACTACTTCATGCAGATCTGCCATTTCCAATACCAGGTACATGTATGATATTTTTCATTGCCACTTCTTTTTTTATATATATACTATATACACTTGTAACATTCTCATAGTAACAATGAAATGCTGAGTTGGTACATGAATACAGTAAGCTTGCCTTATCAAATTTTGTACTTAATAGCAGTGATACTTTAAGAATTTTGAATTTCAGCATATAACAATAATGACACTACAACATTGGAAGACCATTGAAATGGTTGTGTTCAGTAAACAGTACAAGGACAATTTCGGGGTAAAATTTATGTATGAATATGTATGCATAATGAAAAAATTAGTGGTTGAATTTTTTTTTCACTACCACATTTACAGTTTTTGTAATGAATCAATATTTTTTTGTACCTAAACAGTAAGTTCAGTATATTGTCCTGTAAATAAATAATATAAAAAAATTAAATAAAAAACATACATCTTCAGTCATTCGGTTAACTTGCCCACAAAGTGAGGTTAATGACACTGCACTATAGTAAACAACTGTAATTGTTTCCACTACAAGCCATGTGATTTTATAAAACTCTGGTAAAAACCACACTGGTAAAGTGAACTTCCTTCTTTCTTCTCATCATAAATTATACGCACAGATTAGTTTAGCAATTTAACAAACATAAGTTTAGATTCAATCTTCAAGCACAAACATTTCAAAAATCTAAATAGTTTGAAATTTTGTGTCTAGGTTTTCTACTGATTTTGTACTTCAAGTACAAATCATCTGAATTATTAATGATAATATTCATTCCTTACACTTATACACATTAACTTACTTAGGCTACATATATGTAGGTTGTAATAATGACTTGAGTTTATTTATATATATATATATATTAACAAGTATCTGTTCGTTAAGTTATGACTGTGAGATTCTAAGTATATTGCATATAAATTTGCAGGGCTCGTGTCTGTTTCATAGGTTTAACAGTTGCTTCTTTGTATTGAAGAGTTATCCTTGAAACAATATCTGTATATTTCTGATAGTTTAAACCAGGTTAAGTGTGTGTTTCAAATTCAATCAAATATAAAAACAGATTGTCTATCAATAAAACAGAACTTAAAAATACATATCAAAAATCTTTTATTTTTAAATCTCAAGGTAGACAATATATAACAGTTTTAAAGATAGTTAATAATGGTTTTGTATGCCAATTTACATGTTCACAGGAAACATTTAATACATGGCGTTATGTTCAGGTGAAAGTAGTGAAGTACATGCACTGTTTATAATGCATAATCTAGTACATATGTACATGTGTATTACATATTAAACAGATATTCAATACCAAATACATGGTTTACAGTACATATTCCAACAACTGATTAAAAAGTAAATCCCACGTATAAAATTATTATAAAAAACAGGAAACCTAATTTCATCAGATGTATACCAAGAATAACATTTTACTTATCACTTTAAGCATGAAGTTTAGTTTATAATCAACCCTATTTTACAAATCTGTGTCAACACATTAAACTGAGTACAACATACATTGCAATCATGATTTTAGCCCTTCTTGTACATTTTTATACAACTTACCTTGAGTTTCCAATCTCATCATATAAGACCCATTTACATATATTTTCCTTCTCCACTGTGGCTGGTGTCATTGTGACATTTGCAACGTCTGGTCCATGTAAATGGGTGGATCCATTGCTTACAACTGTGGATGTCATGGTTGGACTAGAAGACCTATGGACTAAAAGGCAAGTTCATCTCCCACAATCAGGAAATTAGACCATGATGTACATGTATTACACATATGCACAGTTTTCTACCAGTACAACTTTCTTCTATTCAAAGCACATGGAAGGCTGCCCATCTGTGACAGATTAACAATGTTGCACTCAGCTGATCACAGGAAATTCAAGTGTTTTTAAAAAACAAGTCAGGCGTTGCTGAAGAACTAAAATATCTGTAGAGTTCAGCTATTCATTCACATACTTGTGCCTTGTGAGTAGTTCCACCCGATATTTATTTGTAAAACTAACTTGCAAGTTATAATTTGTATCGAACTAATTGCTATTTCAGACAGTCAACTCAGTTGTTTTGATCTAAGATTCACCTGGAAAATTAAATCTGTTTCTTTAACACAGAACTCAGCCTAAGTGTTTTTGCAAGTATTAGACACCTAGAAAAAAAGGAGGAAAAACAGTAAACATGTGAATTGTGAATAAAAACCAAACTATGCTTTTTGTATTAAATAACATGAAGAATACTAATACTACACTAATTACTGGAAGTCTTATGTACAATTATTTTACAACAGTGTTTGTAAAAAGACTAAGTTTTTATAAACCACATAAGAATTACTCATAATAAATTATAGGAAGAACCTGTCAAACTAAATAAAACCTTTTTTTGGTTGATAAACATGTAAATATATTTTAATATGTTCTTTTTTGAGAAAACATGTTTCTCTAGGTTTATTTAGCATCATCAGGCAACAAACTTGTGCCTTTACTTTTTTATTATTTAGATTAATGTTACTAATAGAGGCATAATTAATAAGTTCTGTTGATTAGAGGAGGTTTATTACAGGAATTTGATAACTAATTAATAGTCAGGCTCATTAATAGATTATATTCAAGCAATTGATTCTCAGATGAGATTTGGATAGTAGGAATAATCAGAAATAACTCTGATTAGTTGATTTTTTTGTGAGTCATGATACTAATCAATTAAGCAAAACACCTTTGATTTAATCAAAAATGATAATACAAAATCATGTATTTCCATTAGATACTTACCTCCTCTCACAAAATAGCTTTTCTCAGTTAGTACTGCTATCTATTGGTGCAAATTTTCAGTGCTCGCCAGTAGCCTTCCACCTCCAGCTTCTGCATATCCACATGTAAATGATTATGCAGCAGCTCTCCATCAATAACAGCATGACACACCTCCTATCGTAACCAGCACCCTCCACATTTACACTTGTTAGTCACTTCGAGATTGGTCAGAAGACCTACATCACATACCACCAGAAGTAAGGAGGTAAGTATCTATTAGAAAAAAAATTTCATTTTAGGAAGAATGCTAACTTCCTAACACAATATCTTACCTCCACTTACAAAATAGCTAGAATCCCACATTGAACTCGTGGAGAGTCGGTGAAAAAAATGATCCACCTTTAGGAAGTGCCCAGAGAGAGAACATGAGGTGTGAAACCAAAAAAAGAAAATATCACACCTCAGCAGGAGACCACATCACTTCTGATCCAGGTATACTCCTCATTCTTTTAAGAACCGTGTCCTGAACATAAAAGGTGAAAAAACATGAAGGAATGCAAAATACGTATTATTGATTAATGGGAATCCTGAGTGTTGAGTGGCTAGGGTGTAATAGACTGTAGTGGTAGATTGACCTCATCCAATACCAGGCAGTATCTGGAATTGTACATCAGTTCTGCAGTATGCATAGGACCATCTACTTTTTCACCTCAAAATGGAAATTGGTGGGTAAGATGAGCTTCCATACCAAAATCCATCTTCAATTGTATGCATTTCCAACCCAACCAACACCCGATCTACCATGAACTAATATCCACTAGATGGAAGAAAGTGGAAAGCCCCAGTCCCCAGTGGGATGACATCTCTGGTCCAAGACCTGGCATAATTGGGTATGGTTCTTACAGTCCATGGAAAGAGAATACCTGACTGTATACAAGTGGGAATACAAGTGATACATCCAGCTACAGCCAACACCAGATTTGCTGGGAACCAACATCCAGCAGACAGTAGGAAGAGGGACAGCAAACCTGGGGTGCATCTCCAGTCCAAAACCTGTCATCAATAGGTATTTTTCATCCAGTCCATGGTAAGAGGAGGGATACCGGTTAGAACATGTGTGAGGACTTACACAGCTGAACCATTTCCAACACCTGACCTCCCAGGAACTGCATACAGAGGATGGTAGGTAGAAGGAATGGCTCAGCCTGAGGGGAAAACTGCAATATATGTATATATATGGTCATGACATGACAGAGTGCTTCAATGAAAACCTGGTGGTATCTGAAATTGTATATCGGGTCCGCAGTTAGAAGGGCATCACACCATCAATACGATCCTAATCATGACTGGGCCATCTCCAGCCAACACCAAACCAACTGGGAATGTACATCTGGATGATGGTAGGAAGAAAAAATACCACAGTAGGAAAAATAAGTCTGCTAGAT